TGCAGTCAGCATCCTGTTGCTTGTGTTGCACTCGAACATTCATCTTTAGAATAATGAAACTGAAATCTAATCATATAAAAGCTGATTTTAAAAAACAAATAATCAGCTTTAGCTTTCAATGCAAGGATTGATTACTGAAGATATTGCAGTAGCAAATAAAAACAGAAGAAAAATAATTTTATTTCAAGTTTAATTAATACCAGTTATAAAACAGTACCAGTAAACTGCAATATGGACATAATCGTACTCTTCTTGTAATTTTTTCACATTTCTGTCTCCACCAGCAGGTGTCTACCTCGCTCTGCTCTAGCAGATCAGTGTCCGCCATCTCACCTTTTCTTTTTCCTTCGTCAGCTGTGTCTCAAAGCCAGCAGCTCTCCAGCCTTCTGTACTTGGCAGCCACTCATGGTCTGAGGACAGTGGCATCGTTCCTCCTGCAGCAGCCAGGAGGCAGGGAAGTGCTAAGGAGGCCCAGTGCTCAGGGACTTACTCCAGCATGTCTGGCAGAGAGCAGAGGACATCAGCAACTGGTGGACCTCTTCACACAGTGAGTAGCTGATACCACGCTAGAATCAATATGAGCTGTTGAAGGATAGATAAATGGACAGATACATTTGTTGCCATTGTCTATACATAGCCACATAAATACATAGACAACTTAACTACTAGAATCCGAAACAACACATTTATACACACATTCCATTCACATAATATTTACACATGATGGCTACCGAAGTGTTTTGTTGAACATTGCTATGGCAGAAGGGACTAGCAGGTCTAGACCTTACTCCTTTTTGTTTTTGTTAAATGTTTGTAAGGAATTCAGTCAGAGTGAAGAAGCTCTTCTTCATACTGTGTGCCTGTGTGACATAAAGCACTCCAGGGGTCTCATTTATTAAAATTGTCCTAGATTTATACTTGAACTAAGATCATTTCTGGCAGTGTGCTTACATTCACTTGCCTTGCCTTAGCGAATTTGTGATCATACAAAACAATACAATAACATGTTGTGTATATACATTCACAATAATTTTTTGGGCTGTCCTGAACATTTTTAATTTAATTTATTTATTTATTCATACACAGTATAACATCGATACTAACGATTAGGGCTGCAGCTATCGAATATTTTGGTAATTGAGTATTCTATTGATTTGTTTCCTTTTTAAGAAAAAAGACATTTATTTATTACCCACATAATGCAAGAGTGTAAACCGTTTTCAGTTCAAAATTCAATTAAAACTATTAAAAATTACTGCAAAAACTATGGTATTGCAGCTCCATCTTGCAATGTACACACACCACGATGTTGTCCTTGAATTAATTATTTTTTTTAAAAAAAAAAAAAAAAAAAAAAAAAAAAAAAAAAAAAAAAAAAAAAAAACAAAAAAAAAAAAAAAGAAAAAAAAAAAAAAAAAAAAAAAAAAAAAAAAAAAAAAAAAAAAAAAAAAAAAAAAAAAAAAATGTTTATTTTTTTTGGCCTTTTCATGTGCGTTATTGGATAGACAGGCTGAAGATCGACAGGAAAGGTGGGTGGAGAGAGAGACGATGACACGCAGCAAAGGGCTGCAGGTCGGATTCGAACCCGAGCCACTGCAAAGGCCCAAGTATGCTTGCCGTTTGCGATTTTGGCCCGCTCGCGCGAGGT